AACTCATATATCACCCCTGTTCGAAACAAAATACAGACTATCTAAAGTTATTTTATAACAATTCAGGCACCTACTTATGAGTAGCATAGTGCCATCAAGAACGTTTCCAGTCATCATACCACCACATGAGATATCAAGAGGCGAAAAAAAATCCGTAGAATAGATGATTTAAAATTTTCAACACATTTGCAAAGTTTCATTGTTCGGCGAAAATTTACACCGGGAACGGATGTGTACTGTGATAGATACGTATCGCAACATTATGCAAAATTTTCGAATACATATGTCTATATCTCTCTGAAAATAAAAAAAAGTCAAAACGGCACGAAAAAAGCCTCATTCAAATAAAGCTTAACAATATCATCATTTGTTGCTAAGGTCCCTGTAGAAACACAAGGTTTCAGTAGCACGACTCCATTCCACTATGTTCTCTGCAGTCTTTTCAACCTCGCTCCACCACTGCCCACAAATTTTCATTTCTTACCCGCTCTATCTCCTCCATGTCACTCTCGGACGACCAACTCGTCGTTTCCCCTTTGGGTCCCACTCGAGTGTCTGGCCTGGCACGTGATGTACTCGATCGGTCTTCTCAGTATATGTCCAATCCATCTTCACTTTCTTCTGCAAATCTGTTGGGCGATGGGTTCTTGATTGGTTCGTTGCCTAGTCAGAGTCAGTTCCTTGTTGCTTATGCTTATTATTCTGGACATCTGATCTCCATCTATAATGTGGCGTTTTCACATGACTGTTGAAGCAGTTGTCTGCCGAATTACTTTCCAGTTGACACTGTCGAAGGCCTTTTCAAAATCGATGAAGTTGAGGTGGAGAGTTGACTGTCATTCTATGCTCTGTTCAATAATGATGCGTAGCGTAGCGTTGCAATTTGATCCGCATATGATTTGTTTCTCCTGAAGTCAGCCAGCAAACTGTTCCTGGTCGAGAGCATTTTTCAGTCTCTCCAGGATGATGCGGCATAATATTTTGCTTGGGTGGACAGGGACAGGAGCATGATTCCGCTCCGGTTCTTGCAAACACTTAGGTCTCCCTTCTTTGGGAGTTTGACCAGGTAGCCCTTCTTCCAACCGACAGACAGTTACCTTTGCCTCCTTCCTTCCTTCCTTCCTTCCAAACCTTCTGCAGTAGTGGTGTGGTGTGGTGTGGTGTTAGCATGTGCGCTGCTGTTGTCTCTGCTTCTGTTTTCAGTGCTTCTGGATGGATTCCATTTGGTACTGCTGCTTTCCCGAATTTCACCAGCTTCATGGCGTTCAGGAATTTAATTCAGCTTTTGTCGGAAGACTTGTGCTCACTGGTAATTCTGTGGCTGGGCTGCCGGTGGTATTTCTGGATGAGTTAAAGTTGGTGATGGTGGTCGATTGGATAGTTTTTTGAAGTGGTCAGCCCTTCGTTTCCTTGGCTTCTCCTCTCTGGTAACCGGGTTTCCTTCACTATCTTTCATTGGTTTCATCCGCATTGCTCTCCCGAAGAGTGAGTGACCTGGTTATTTGATATAATGTTGTCAGGTCTCTCTCTGTCTCTCCTACATGCAGCCTGTTCTGCTTCACTTGTCAGTATGACGTAGAAGTGTTTTTGTCTTGGGGCTCACTCTTCTTCACTCCTTTGTCCAGTGTAGTGTTTTATAGGCTGTGTTCAGTTCCTCTTTTCGTTGTTCACCCCTGCACTACACTATACTACACTACACTAAACATCCTCATCTCCTCATTCACCATCCCCTCTCCCTGCTCTATCAGCTTCCATGTGTCCATCGAGATCCATTCCTTGTCGTGCCTCTTCTTTTTCCTTCCTAACACGGTTATGCAGGTTTACTTCAACGCCTCTTTCACAGAGTTCCAATGCTCTCTCATGTAGGTTTCCTCGGGGATGTTGCTCAATGTCTCTCATTTTGTCCTGATGACCCACTGACTGACTGACTCACTGACTGACTCACTGACTGACTGACTGACTCACTGACTGACCCACTGACTGAGTGACTCACTGACTGACTCACTGACTGACTGACGTGAAGACATCCTTCCCAGTTTCGTACTTCAGTTTACTTCCTCTTCTGGGTGGTGAACCTCAACTGTGATCTGTCTATCGCCAACTTCTGTGAAGGCTTCCAACTTGATTTTCAAGGGTAGGTTCCTTGCACCAGAGAGTGAGTAATGTGAATCCACATCTGTTCCCCTTCTTGATCTTGTGTCTAGTAGGTTACGTCTCCACATTCTTCACATTGAGGTGGAGTCGATTTGATTTTTAGTGTAGTGTGTCCTGGTGTGGTGTCTGGTGAAATCCATGTCGCTGGCTTGCGAATATCCTTGTGTTTGTACACACTGTCTGACTCCAATCACCAAATCGTTGAATGTGCAGAAGTCTCCAAACAGTTCTCGATTCTCGTACATTTCACCGAGTGCCTCTCGACCCATGCATGATTGGTTCTCTCCTGTGTTGTCCGCTCCCAGTTTGGCTGGCATTCATGTCACCCCATACAAAGACATCTGTGATCAAAACCTCGTAACTGATTCATGTCTTATACTTTTAATGGGTATGTCTCACAACCGTATGACATAACAGAACAGACTGCAACTCAGTATTATTGTTTTTCGAAAGACAGTCGGATGTCTCGCCGGTGCCACTGTTTGATGCAAGTTGTCGAATGTCAAACGGGACTTCTGAATATGACCTGAGATTTCGTCAGCAACCAACCCATCCGAGCTGACGCAACTCCCCAAGTAAATGAAGTGGTCGACACATTTTACCACTTCACTCCCTATCACTAAACTAGGAGTAGTAGAAGACCGGGCCTGGAGTATCAACTTACATTTGACAGGTTTATCCTCGCCAGATATTGAATCGTCAAACAAATATATCAAACTTATCATTTTGATAGGCCTTTTTATTAACTTGGTAGCCACTTATGAGAGCAGAAAAGATCGTAATCAGTTTGATTGCACAAAATGGCTGACTTTAAGTGTACGCTGTTAGATAGTAGGACACAAGTGCATTTAATTTAAAAGCAAAAACAAATTTTATAGAAAACTGAACGCTAACAAATAAGTTCTTTATGAAAAAAGTCTGCATCCAGCAAATAATAATGATCAATAAACTAACGTCAGCGAAATGGCAAATACACAGTCACATGGCTATGTTGCATAGCAATTCAATGAATTCATTATAACCACTGAAACAGACTGCAGAAATAAAAACAGCTTACATTTTTTTTGGTCAGTTTAACTGTTTTAAAGGCTGAAGACATTCAAGGAATGTAACCTTTAGTTAAAGCACATTTAATTAACTCCAGAGAAATAAACTGTCGTTCCAACTGTACATCACAAAATCCTTTCCGTGGTTATTTTTTTAAGCCCATTGAATAGTATCAAATGAACGACGAAGTATCTTTGCAGCAAGCAAAACTAGCTACTTAAGAACTCCAAAAATTGTTTTCAAGTCAGTTCTGACTGCAGAAAGTTTCAAAATCAGGTCTGATAGGATTATGGAAATTCTAAGAAAAATGAAACCTCATCATGTCATTATTGTTAATTAAAAATTCACTCACTACTGTCATGTAAATCTTCTGTCTCAAAATTGGGTGTTTACAGCCTCAGAAAGTTTCTGTTCACCAGCTTTCCTCAGGGGATGAGTCTCACCACTTTTGGTCATTGATCGGCTCACGTAAATCTCTTGACCCCACTTGATTTGGTGGCTGTTACTAGACGAATCCCAAATGCAGGCTCTGTATTCTACGGACCATTTCAGTCTGATCTACTGGTATCAAATTTTTCGGAGATCACTAGCGAGGAGATAACTCACTGTGGAAAATGTTTCCTAGTCACTTATTCATCTCAGTTTGCCTTCGAACAAGAAAACTTCTATCTATCTTGATCTTCCTACACATATTTAACCACTGGAAGATCGATAAATCTTTATTTCACCACAAAACATCAATGACTTTTAAAGCGAGTATTGATTTCCTAGAAAAAAAGACTAGACAGACCACAATTTCCTGCATTCACCTCAAGGAAAAAAACTAGAACTTTTGAAATGCACCTTTCATACTTGTCAGAGAATTTTCAAACAGTTTTTTCTTGCCCGTTTATCTATGTATGCTTATGCGGCAGTGCACATATATGTGTGCACCTTCCTTTGGTTCAAACCTATGTCACTAGATTTCCAAAACAACATACATCTGAAGCCTCATTTATATATATATATATATATATATATATATATATATATATATATATATATTGGATAGATAGACATGCAAGTATGTGAGAAAATAAGCATTTCACCTGGGCGTTTTAACTAGTGTCTCACCTTTTCATCAATATATCCAACAGATTGTACCAATCAGTATTATTTAACTCCCCATGTGTGTAAATTCCCTAAAATTCCCGTATCAAATGATAAACATTCAGTGCACATACGTAGATAGAAGACTGTGCCAATAATTATTGACCAGTTGCGTGGGTGCAAGGTTTAGCATGATGCTTTTAGTTGTACAAGTGATCAGATAAGCAAGGTCTCATCAATTTCTTTTTCTACAACTTTTATTGATACTTAGTAAGCAAATCAAGATGCTTATATACATAATATATGAATAAGAAGGCATAAATAAATTTCTCCTGGAACCAGGCAAATGACAGAGTAAATACAGTGCTTATTACCTACATAGGAAACATTCATGCTTTTCTGATTTAATAAACAAGCGATATACCCGCGTGAAAATTTCGCTTAATAATGCATTCAGTACACATGTTCTTTTACTGCAACTACTGTCATTACACTACTTTCGATTTGACAAAGGAGCATACATTTTAGAAGAAGTATTATACATTTTATTTTATTTCATACACTACAATGATAACGTCAGAGCTTGAAGGTGGTAGATTCGATTTTGATGATGGTGGGAGTTATGTAGGTGAATGGTGTGAAGGAAGAGCACATGGACTGGTATAGCTACTGGGCCTGAAAACCAAGGTGAATATTCGGGAGAATGGAATATGGGATTTGAATCAAGAGGTGTATATATATGGCCAAGTGGAAATATTTACAGTGGTACGTGGCTGAAAGGCAAACGTCATGGTGAAGGTGTACAAATTAAAGGACGTTGGGTATACAGAGGATCATTCACAACTGGATTCTGTGGTCGCTATGGTATCAAGGAGTCTTTGACCAGTTGTGCTAATATGAAGGAAGTTGGCATTTAAACCAGTTTGACGGTTTTGGAGTGAGACCAATTCTGATGGAAGTAAGTAAGACAATATTACTAATTTCATAATAAAGTAATCAGGATTGAACAACTTAAACACTTTTACTTCGACTGTATTCTTTCAAGTAGACTTGTTCTCATAATGATACTGTTCATCATATAATTTCATCATTTGCCCAAAATAATCGTCCATACCAACTAAAGAAATTATAAAAATAGTTTAAAGAGGTATCAAAGGCACCAGTACAGTCCTATTTCTAAGTAGGATTTAGATGACTTTAAAAAGTTTATCGTACCGAGAAGAATCTGTTCAACAGACTTTGATAAAAATAGTCCCAACCAAAGTCTTTCGTAAGGAACTATAACTACCCTAGTGAAATTATGATAGTTGGGCACGTAAATTTGGCATCTTTTCAGTTTCTTACGTGAATTACAGCGCTTGAGAATCAAATGTTGCACATTTTGAGTGGGTTGGTTCATTGGATTCCATAAAGATTTACTTAATACCATGAATTGCATTTTTCTCACTAATTATGATTAATTACCATACCGATCAAAGCAGTGACTTACTGAACTGATCTATAAAAAAAACAGACAAGCAGTTGACAGTGTTTGCTTTCTAATATCAAGTAAATAAAGAGTTTAGGTAACATATTTACCAAGAGATAGTATGAAGAAGTTCAAGTCAAATCATTTGGGTTCAAGTTAGGAAATGTATCAGAATGTATTTATCGTAAAGACAAATGCCTAGCCTTAAATAAACTAATAAAAAATGTCTAACTGAAGCGTCTTATGAATCAGAGCAATCGGCTCGTAATATAGAAGTATTTCTGATTTGTACTCCCTGACAGATAACAAATGTGCTGTTTTGTGTGAGATTAAGACATATTTGCTGAGTTACAGAGTATTTCTGTAATTAGATTTGTTTGTTTAATATGATAAACTGACAGTATTATTAAATGGATGACGTTTTTGGCAAGTATCACTATCAATGATCACACCAAGATGTGAATATTAAGGGTGATAAATTGTGTGCAAAACGTCATTGTGTAAATTATCTTGTGTCACAATTTTTGTGCTATCAAGTAAACAAATCTAATGAGGACTGATAATGATTGTGATTGAACTGGTTAGAAAAGGAAAGATTTCTTATAAAATCTGTCAAATAATCTACATAAGTATGATTTCTTGGTTAATAAAGTGATATATTTCTCTCGTTTGTAAGGCAATTAATTAAAGAAGAATAAACGGCCAACACATCGTAAAGTTAAAGCGTGATATGAGTAATTACCAATGACAAATCAATCCAATGGTTAATAATATGAGATCGTTCGATGTTTAAGTGGTTCGTCGCGCTGTAAATACTGCTGAAATTCTCAGCTACAGAACAAGCTATCCGAATGTAAACAGAAGCAAGATTCAAAGAATATTAAATAACATGACAATGATAAATTTGATTATATTAAGCTTGAAATCTGTGTACGAGTTAAACCTGTACTTAAATCAACCAGAAATTATGCCATCAAACTGGTCTCATAATGAAGTATTTAGCATAATGATACTGTTTAGGACGTATAGCTGTCAACAAATTCCACAAGTTTCATCCATACCAGCAATGTAAAAATCAAACCACGCTTGTTATCATTACAGTTATTTATGTTAAAAACCAATTATAAAGAACACTAAAATTAAAGTATGAGCCATTACTGAAACTTCTGATAGTTCTATGGGCATGAAATTAGGACGGTTGGCAACAAATGCGATAAAGAAGTCTGCTGCATAGCATAAAATACACTACAGAGCACTTCAGTGCATGTGAAGGACGAAATTCTCCAACATTCAAAATCGAATTGTGTCTACAAAGTAAAATACTCAGATTGCAATTCAGCATAAATAAGACATGCCTTTTAAGAAAGCAAAGTTTCAAAAAGTGAACACAATGGTATCCACTTGACCTCACAAAAACCAGTCAAACTCAAAACCGTGAAAGTACTTCAGTCGTAGCTCTACAAGCCATAACTTCAGATCACACGGTAGACTTGGACAATGTATCTAAACATATTCAAATCTTACTAGACACCAGAATATTAAGTACTAATACTGTTACTTTAACAACTTACCATAAAAATTTCATTCATTGTAAATGTAAACGAAATGAGTGAACGCCTACTCAAAGTTGTAATTTTGAATATTGTAATCTCAGCAGTCGGAAAACTTCACAGATTTTGGACGATCTGTGGAGCCCAAAAACAGCCTCAGTTTTGATGGTTTCATTTCATTCTCTCAACAAAAGACTGACTTCGATTAGATTCTATACCACAACATAGTTATACGTTTACCGACATTCTGAAGTAGCTAAACACAGTACAAGAATTCAATATTTTAACAAAAGCAGACGATATATAAATAAGAGAAAAGAAGCATTTCCAGGAAAATAGGCTTTAGCAATATACTGGCCAATGAGGTGACCGGAACACCGAATGAATAGGGTGATCAGATAACTTGTCAATGTGACAGTATACTGATTACATCTCAACAGAAACACACCAAAACAAAAGCTGACAATAATTAAGAGTAGTTGTGAATATCCTTTAATTATGCAACTGATGATAAAGCGAGACCATTAAAATGCTTCACTGATTTGTCACATCATTTTGTAACCTAATTAGGACAATGTGTATTGTCGTAGACATGTAGACGCTTCCAGCTTTCGTGGCATTTAAAGGTACTAGCATTGAATTCCCTTAATCAAATTGCAGATAACACTGTGATAGCACCTATGATGAATGCTGTTTGGTAAGACTCCTGGCTTGAAGCTTGCTGCAACTCAAGTATTCCCTGAGCTGAAACCATTTTTATGTTGTTTTTAGCTGATACTTTGAGTGCAAACACTTTCTAAACATCCATGCTTTTGCCATTTCAATTAATAAAGAAGTTGCTGGGAAGCAGACCTAACCGACCATAAATTCATTAAACGGCACAACTTTCGTGTGGTTTTCTAGTTATATATGAAACAACAAATATATATGCAGTTCAAGGGGATGGTTTTGGTGATATTGAGTTCTCTGAGGTGAAATGTTCGTTTGTTAAGCTTCCACTGGATGATAGTAACATTTAGTGCACTTTGGAGTGTTTCATATCGGAAACACTATTTACTCCACGCTTTTTTCAAGGGGATTTTCTTGCACAACCTAACCTCTCTTCTATTTACAAAAAGATTGAGCAACCTTAGGAAAAGCAGTCTTCATCACGTACTTGAATAATTTAGAAATCATGGAAGACTCGGAGCACTGGAAGCTGTTTCACCTCAGTAGCGACTCCTCAGATGTTCGCACTCATGATCTCACTAGGGATCAAGCCAAGGACTGTCATGCATCTCTGTAAGACGGTACTGTTCAGTCACTTGGTTGAAATCTAATGGTTTACATCTTCATAAGTCTATCAATTCTCGATGCAGCACAGGCATCCTTTAACGTCATCGGCGAGCATTTGTTCTCACACCCAATTTGTTTAACTCTCAGAATCAATTAATTCCCAAAAACCACTAGGTAAATACTAAAAATGTACTCATCATTTGATCTCCACGCTGATTATTTCAGGTTAATGAAGACTTGTCTTGCTATCTTTCCGATCCTAGCTTTGACGTCCTCATTTGTGACTGTGCCACCTGTAGTTGAAATGATGCTGCCTAGGTGGTAGGTGAAAAAGACTAATTCCTTTGGATTCCTCCCATTGATGCTGATTGATGCTTGTTGTTGATGCTGTTGTTGGTTGGGTATCTTCATCACCACTGTCTTTTCCACGTTCACTTGAAGGAAATCCTGTCTTCGCTGCCTCACCCATCCTGTCAACTTGTTGGGTTTTGACTTTAGATCTTTGAGTTTTAGCGATATTAGACACAAATCATCATCAGTGAAATCCAAATCTTCTCCTGGGGTCTTTTCATCGTTCCAGTCAGCGTACGCTCATCTTCTAGCTCCTCACAGCTGTCTGTTGCATGATCCAGCTCAGTACAGTCCACTGGACCACAATCACGAAGACCATAGGTGATAGTAGGCGGCAACCTTGTCTTACTCCTGTCTTCACTTCAAAGGCGTCATTGAGGTCTCCATTGTGAATCACTTGGCATGTAGCATCTTCATACAGCTGTTGAGTAAGGTTGATAAAGGTTTGTGACACTAAAACCGCAGCGTTGAAGCAGCTAGCTGTCTGCCAAATTACTTCTCAATCGACTCTGTCAAAGGCATTTTCAAAATCGATGAAGTTGAGGTGGAGAGTTGACTGTCATTCTATGCTCTGTTCAATAATGATGCGTAGCGTAGCATTGCAATTTGACTCGCATATGATTTGTTTCTCCTGAAGTCAGCCAGCAAACTGTTCCTGGTCGAGAGCATTTTTCAGTCTCTCCAGGATGATGCGGCATAATATTTTGCTTGAGTGGACAGGGACAGGAGCATGATTCCGCTCCAGTTCTTGCAAACACTTAGGTCTCCCTTCTTTGGGAGTTTGACTAGGTAGCCCTTCATCCAACTGGAAGGCAAGTACCTTTCCTTCCTTCCTTCCTTCCTTCCTTCCTTCCTTCCTTCCTTCCTTCCTTCCTTCCTTCCTTCCTTCCTTCCTTCCTTCCTTCCTTCCTTCCTTCCTTCCTTCCTTCCTTCCTTCATTCCTTCCTTCCTTCCAAACCTTCTGCAGTAGTGGTGTGGTGTGGTGTGGTGTTAGCATGTGCGCTGCTGTTGTCTCTGCTTCTGTTTTCAGTGCTTCTGGATGGATTCCATTTGGTACTGCTGCTTTCCCGAATTTCACCAGCTTCATGGCGTTCAGGAATTTAATTCAGCTTTGTCGGAAGACTTGTGCTCACTGGTAATTCTGTGGCTGGGCTGCCGGTGGTATTTCTGGATGAGTTAAAGTTGGTGATGGTGGTCGATTGGATAGTTTTTTGAAGTGGTCAGCCCTTCGTTTCCTTGGCTTCTCCTCTCTGGTAACCGGGTTTCCTTCACTATCTTTCATTGGTTTCATCCGCATTGCTCTCCCGAAGAGTG